TTAAATAATGTGTCCTTCTCTGGTTCCTAACACACTTCCCTCCCCACCCCATGGATTTCTCCAGTACCTTATAGCTTCTCCCGGAAGGTCCCAAGCTAGCCTCATTTTTTGCCCAACCACAGCAGCCCATTTTTCTGAAGATTCAGGCTCACCAGTAGAGCAGGGCAAAAGCATACACTGATTCACAGTGTTTTGCACTGACCCCCTTTCCCTGAGCCAAGGTCATGCCTCTGAAACTCAAGAACATCTGAGTCCACAAAGGTTTGCTTTAAAGTTCATTTCCAGTTTGTTTCACAAACATGGTTCACAGACTGCTTCACTTTAGTGAATTCATACGTCATGGCACAAATGTGATTCTCTGCCTGGGACATCAAATTCACTAATGAGCTTAAATGCTGTCTTCTGAACCCCTGAATCACAGTCACACATCTCGTCTCAGGGTGGCCTCCACTTTCTCTCCATGCTCAGTTCCAAGCTGGTAATTTAATCTGAGGAGCAGTTATAGGGCCAGTGGCCTTGAGTTCCACCTCAGAAAACAACAAACAGGCAAACAAAACCAAAACAGACAAACAGAAAACACTGTAGGTTGGGGTAGGGGAGAGCCTAGTAAATATAATGTTCTTAGTGAAATTGTAGATTAATGACAACAAAATTAAAAAAAAACATAATAAAAAAAGAAAAAGAAAACACTGTAGGCTTGACATCCTGACAGAATAAGTTGCCACCTAGATCTTTACTGAAACATCTGCCAAAACACCAAAGAAAGATTCTAATCAAAACACAGCAAAACTCAACAACCTTCTTTCCCTCTCAGTACCTATGGTAACACTGGGCTGCACCTCCCACCATCAGTCTTTGTCCTCATTACCTCCAAAGGCCCCCAGACTCCCTCTAAGCCCAGCCCTGTGCCTCTGGTGTCTCCTTGCCCGTGGCCTTCCTGGGGGGGCCTCCAGGTTCTGCCCCACTCATTTCTCTCAGCCACACAACCTAAGGCCAGATCTGTCTGAGTAACCAAGGCTCCTTCTTAGAAGCCAGGGAGGGAGGGAGGGGGGCTATGAGCATTCAGAAATTAATTTTTTTGTCCCAATTCTGTTATAAAATTTATATGTTGGCATAGTGATCCTTCTTCTATGTTACAGAATGCAGAACTATCTCAATGGGGCAAGGACAGGAAGTACACGCCCGAAAGCTGATTCACATGTCAATGCAGCAGGTACGTCATGAGGATGATGTTCTTGCTGTTATTCCTCCGGCAGTCAGGTGCACCTCACACCACCACCGGGCGGTCATCCTGCCTGTGATGCTCAATCATTTTTTTCCAGTTCTGTTTACATATATGTAGTCAGCTTTTGATCAACTGTGGATTTTAAACCTCAAGCTCATTTGACCCTGACACTGCCACAACATGCTTGTTGCATTTTCAATAGTGTATGCTCCGTTTTATTTTCACAGAATATTTTTTCGACATTTTGGTACACATGCTTTCTAGTTCCTAAGGATGCAGCTCTAGCAGTCTTGGAATTCTATGATCCATATGAATAGATGGTGCATAAGAAGTGACAGATTGAGACAGTTATATTTCAATGTCCAGTTAAAGTCAGACTTTCCTTTGTCACTGGTGGATAGTTGTATGAAAATAAGGACTATTTGAGGATGTTATGTTTAAATATTGATAATAGTTTTCATTGAAAAGTGCAAGCTGGATGGAATGTTGAGCAATGTTTTCCATCACAGCTAATGAATGCACAGGACATTAGTTTTCTAGAAAAGCTTGATAGGTAGCAATTTCAGCTATAATAAGAAATTGCACCATTTATAAAAATAAAATAAGATCTTGGTTTATTTCTCAGCTCTTGATCTCAAAATGTCCTTAGCAACGTTGGTGCAGCTTTTCCCTGGGAATTAATGACTAGAGAGGGTTAATGGGCTAAAACTCTGGTCAGGTCATCAAATTTTCAAGCTAGTGATTAATTCTCAAGTTCCCTAAGCCTTAATCTTTATCACTTAACTAAATTCAATCATACATTGCATTTAATTTATGCATATTAAAGCAATTACATACAATTATTTTTATTCAGATGAAATAATTCACTCTGTTGAGCGATTTGACAGTTTAACTTTGGGTCTTAAATAATTTCGTGAGTTTCCTCCAATGAGAAAACTTTTAATTGAAACACTGCATTCACATTAGCCTTCTTCAGAATATGAGCTTTTATAACTTCCATATTTTGTTTCTCAAGGTGGAATAAGTATTGCTAATAATGGCAGTATCAAGAAAAACAAAAAACCAAACCAAACCTGTGAACAGGTGTAGCCACATTGCCATTTGAGGAAAACCAGATTTAGGGTGAAGCTGACATTGTGGAATGCAGAGCAGAGGCACAGAAAGTCACTGAATTCATTACGACACAAAGTAATCCTGAAGTCCATCTTTCTTTGGACACCTCGTCATTTAGACCAACTGTCCCCTTTGCTGTTTAAACCAGCCTGAGTTGTATTTCCCCTTACAGTAGAAGGCATAATATACAAGCCTTAACATATATATTTTGTAGCTGTGTTTGTCTGATCTTGTTATATAAGGGTACCAAAATGTTGTCTGGTTAGTAAGTTATGCTCTCATAGAGCAGCGATGGTAATGACTCATATTGATAAAGGCAGTTTTATCATGTATTTACATAGTGCTTAATAAGTTTTGTGGTTTCAGGAGGGAATGGAAAGAGTGATGACAAGAATGAGGTTTAGTATTATGGTAGTAAATGTCACCCAATGTATTGTCTCCATTCTTCATGAGGTAATGTGCATCTCTCTTTGTAACTGTGGATGACTTAATTTGGGGGTGAGTCAGTTCTGATTTAATTTAGGCAGGACAATGTGTTACAAATTACAAAATACCCATTCCTACCATTAGATAATGCACACACTGTACTTACACAAGTCTGACTTCAAACTTAAATTTCTGTTCCCCTCTGAACCAGCGGTGGCAGAATGCAATCATTTTGAGCCCACTTGATTCCAGGTAACCAGATTCACCAGCAGCAGAAGAAATTACTGTATTGGTATATGCTAATTTCATTAAAAGTATGTGCTCAAAACAGATGCCCTAAGCAAAGATTTAAAAAAATAATTTGTTTGTACCTTTTGTTTTAGTAAAATCGTAGCAAAAAGTTATAAGAAATTAATATGAAATCATTTTTGAATGTAGGGTGGCTGGGTATTACTGCAAAATTGTCACCTTGGCCTAGAATTCATGGAAGAATTGCTAGAGATCATAACTACCACTGAAGCCAATGATGACTCTTTCCGAGTATGGATAACAACCGAGCCTCACGATCGATTTCCAATTACTCTGCTTCAGGTTTGTTACTGAGATGAGTGGGTTTTCCTTGAGGGTTACATGAATATAAAGATAGCATAATTGGCATTATTGAAAGATGGAAGCACAGCAGATCTTTTTGGTCCAGTAGAGTCTGCACTTCAAAATCCTGTTATAATTATCAGAATCAAGATTATATAGCAAATATTTCCACACAGGAGTTACAAGACCCAGTACTGATATTGGGTTTGGGCTCTGATCAATGTCATGAGTTTACACAGTGCTGAATTTCAGCCAGCATTTTGCATACTGTAAGCATATTGTTCTCTGATCTATTTTATCCTTTACACTAATTTATAGAAACAAAACTACTGTTTGCTTTTTATGACAGACTTCTCTCAAATTCACTAACGAGCCACCCCAAGGCGTACGTGCAGGTCTGAAAAGAACATTTGCCGGAATTAATCAAGACCTTCTGGATGTCAGTAATTTACCCATGTGGAAGCCAATGCTTTACACAGTAGCATTTTTACACTCCACTGTGCAGGTAACTTCCCAGAGCAGTTTGCACATGCAGAGGCTGCTGATGAGGCTGCTCTGTCTGCTGCCCTGTCTGCTCACCTCTCCCGGCTTCTTTTCCTTCATAGCATTGTCCCCCACCCTGCATTGTGCATATTTATTGATGTGCTTAATGTGTCCTCCCACCCCTGCCCCCACCCCTGGACATTAGCACGCAAGACCCTTTGAGGGCCGAGACTTTGTCTTTTTGTACTGCTGAATCTCCCTCATCACAGTGCCATCTGGAGCATTGCCAGGACTCAATAAATATTTGTGGGATGAACAGATTATTCAGATAGGAGCTTTGTTTTCAAAGTGCCTGGGCTGGCCAGGAATGTTATATACACCATCTCATGTAACACTAACAGCCTCATTTCAAGGTAGGATTATCACCATTTTGAAAACGAGGTAATTGAGGTTAAGTTCATGTCACAGGCAGTGGCTCCAAGCATCAAGCCGACACTGCTGGCCTCAGATGTTCCGACCCTACTCCCCACCAGGAGGAGGAGTAACAGTGGTTATGTCTTTTCAGATTGTTTGCTCTTTGCTTTTACCATATATTTACACAGTAACTTAATAATTTTATGGCCATCCAGCTCCTTGTCTGTAGATTTTTCATTTTGTTAGTGCTTTGTTCTCTATTTGAATTTTATATTTTATTCTGTGTTTGAAAGCTGTATAATTTTAATGTACTTAATTCACTCCTTGATTTCATAGAGGTGAGGAGCCTCCTTTAACCCTGTCCTGACTTTCTTCTTTCCCTGAGGCAGGAGTGAGGACAACATGAATCAGCTGGCCCATACCAGGAATGGTGCCTTCGTTGTGTACAGTGGCATGGAGGGCTCCACCTCCTCTCTGCCCACCCTGCCTGAAGGTGGGAGGGAATTTGGTGCTCACTCCAGAAAACACTGGCTCCATATACCCTCAGGTTCATTGTACCTGCCACTGTGCCAGGTTCCGTGCTGCCCAGCAGAGACAGCTGGTGTTTATCTGGCCCCCAACCCTGAGAGTTAAAATCAGGTTAAATGCTTTGCAGGTGGTTATTTTTACTAAGTTCCCCTGTGGCCTTTGGATTGTGAATCACAGCTTTCAAGTCACTGAAACTCATTTCATACATTCTTATCTGGGAATTGTTCAATTTGCTAGACCTTATCACACTCTAATGCAAATATTGCTCTAACTCTGTCATTTAATTCTCAATTCACAAATAGTATATTTTATGATTCTGTTCCTAGTAGTGATGATTCAACTCTTCCACCATGCTTTATCATGAGGAGATGATAGGAGGTATTTTTCATATGGTCAGTGTGGCAACCTGTGTTTTTAATGGCCATTATCCAAGTGCTAAACAGAAGAACAACAAGACCATGCCCCAGTGGTGGGGCTAAAGTGTGCTTGCACTAATAATGACATTATTTGGATTAAAACAGAAGAAAAGCTCCACTGCTAGGGCTGTGAACTAAAGGTTGAGTATTTCTTAAAATCCAGTTGTAGTTTTCTAGAAAGAGTACTTTACTGAGAGTCAAGGAGCCTGGATTTAGACTTGCCATAAAATCAATAGGCTATGTAAGGTTGCTCAAATTATGTCCCTCTCAGTGCCTCTGTTTCCCCATCTGTGTGCTTAGAGGCAAAAGGGGGCAATCTTTCAAGATTTTTACCATTTCTAAAATTATCCAGTTCTATGACTACATAGGGAGGATAGTTACATCAAGCATATTTCTTCCTGTTATTTTTTCATCACTTTCAGAAATGTGTGCTGTGATATTGCCTAAATATTGTATTTTACTTGTATTTATAAGCCAGCTTGACAGAAAAATCCAGAATCCTTTAGGGGCTTGTAGTTCTGGACCAGCAGGAGCCACATCAATTGGGAGCTTTTACAAGACACTCATGAGAGAAATTAAAGAAGATACCAATAAATGGAAACACATCCCATACTCATGGACAGGAAGAATTAATATTGTCAAAATGGCCATCCTGCCCAAAGCATTTTACAGATTCAGTGCAATTCCTATCCTATCAAAATATCAATAACATTCTTCAATGAACTAGAGCAAATCATCCTAAAATTTATATGGAAACACAAAAGACCCCGAATAGCCAAAGCAATCCTGAGAAGGGAGAATAAAGCAGAGGAAATTATGCTCCCCAACTTCAAGCTCTACTACAAAGCCATAGTAATCAAGACAATTTGGTACTGGCACAAGAACAGACCCATAGACCAATGGAACAGACTAGAGAGCTCTGATATAAATCCAACTGTATATAGTCAATTAATATATGATAAAGGAGCCATGGACATACAGTGGGGAAATGACAGCCTCTTCAACAACTGGTGTTGGCAAAACTGGACAGCTACATGTAAGAGAATGAAACTGGATTATTGTTTAACCCCATACACAAAAGTAAACTTGAAATGGATCAAAGACCTGAATGTAAGTCATGATATCACAAAACTCTTAGAAGACAACATAGGCAAAAATCTCCTGAATATAAATATGAACAACTTCTTCCTGAACGCATCTGATGATTAGTGATGTGGAGCATCTTTTCACGTGTCTGTTGGCCATCTGAATTTCTTCTTTGGAGAACTGTCTCTTCATATTCTCTGCCCATTTTTTAATCAGGTTATTTGCTTTTTGGGTATTGAGGCATGTAAGTTCTTTATATATTTTGGATGTTAACCCCTTGTCGGATATGTCATTTAGAAATATATTCTCCCATACTGTAGGATGCCTTTTTGTTCTGTTGATGATGTCCTTTGCCATACAAAACCCTTTTAGTTTAATGTAGTCCCATGAGTTCATTTTTGCTTTTGTTTCCCTTTCTCGAGGACATGCGTTCAGGAAGAAGTTGCTTATGCTTACATTCACGAGATTTTTGCCCATGTTGTCTTCTAAGAGTTTTATGGTTTCATGACTTACATTCAAGTCTTTAATCCATTTTGAGTTTACTTTTGTGTATGGGGTTAAACAATAATCCAGTTTCATTCTCTTGCATGTAGTTGTCCAGTTTTGCCAACACCAGCTGTTGGAGTGGTTGTCATTACCCCATTGTGTATCCATGGCCCCATTATCATATATTAATTGACCATATGGTTGGGTTTATATCAGGGCTCTCTAGTCTGTTCCATTGGTCTATGAGTCTGTTCTTGTGCCAGTACCAAATTGTCATAATTACTGTGGCTTTGTAGTAGAGCTTGAAGTTGGGGAGCATTTCCCCTGCTTTATTCTCCCTTCTCAGGATTGCTTTGGCTATTCGGGGTCTTTTGTGTTTCCATATGAATTTTAGGATGATTTGCTCTAGTTCATTGAAGAATGCTATTGATATTTTGATAGGATAGGAATTGCACTGAATCTGTAGATTGCTTTAGGCAGGATGGCCATTTTGACAATATTAATTCTTCCTGTCCATGAGTATGGGATGTGTTTCCATTTATTGGTATCTTCTTTAATTTCTCTCATGAGTGTCTTGCAGTTTTCACAGTATAGGTCTTTCACCTCCGTGGTTAGGTTTATTCCTAGGTATTTTATTTTAGTCATTTTTTTTAATGTCCTTTACAGGGTTTGGAATTTTTCTCCCTACCATGTTGGCTTGCCCACATACAGGCCCACACTTAGGACTTTTGTAGTGGCCTATGTACAACAGGAAGGTTTTTGCTAAAGTCCTTGATTAGGAGCTCTCAGGACCTACACTGGCAGTTGCAAACTTGGGAATTTTATCATGGCTCTTAAAAATAATTTAAATATTAAGTAAAAATGGCTAAATAAAAACAGGGCCCAGGGAGTTCTGTTAGCAATTCTTCATTCAGAAAAATGTCCCCTTCTCCTACATTTGGTTTTCTTTCCTAAGTCTGATCCATGACAAACACTCCCTTCAAGTTTCATAGTGTATATAAACTTGCTTTGGGGAGGCATGATTATAAAGTTCTTGGTTTAAATGTCTTCAGAATGATTACAATAATATGATAATGGTCTTCAGAAAGATAATTTACACTTATCTCTATAGCTTTTCCTAGTAGTTCTGGGCATTCTGTTAATTATTTTTACCTATTAAAGTTTTCCTTATATCATGTAGTATGGATTGCCTTTTTCATTTTATGTTAGCTCCAATATAAACAGGATGTGATGCTGCAGAGAGAGCCTTTTTTTTGAAGATGTAACTGAACTGATTCTGCTCTGGGCTATGGGAGGTAGGATCATTGCACTGAAGTGGAATCTAACAAAACTGAAAAAGCTTGGACATCACTAAAGTGATGGATCCTCCATCAAGCAACTTTTGATCAGTGTTCGAAGGAGGACTGCAAGTTTTCCATATTTCTTAGTAGCTCTGTGTTTTGCATATTCTGTAGAATAAAAAGGAACCCTATGGCTAAATTCAGGAATGAGTAGCCTAGCCTTCCTAATATCATCTCTCTCTAACTTAATCATGGATGATTCCCTTCTGTTGATCAGGTCTTAGCTTTTCATCCTAACCTTCAAATCTGTCTGCAGTCCCTCCCTGAATTATCACAGGAGCATGTAGTCCCAGCTCCTCGCCAGAGGTCACCATCTGCTGCACTAGAACCATTTACCTGCAGCCTCCTTCTGGATGAATCACAAGCTTTACTGGCTGTGCTCATGTCCTTTACCAGGCCTGGAAATCTTTTCTCCCTTCTTTTCAAAGACCAGCTTCAGTTTCATTCTTCCCGAAGGCCTCTGATTGAATGTCTTCTAAAGGCTTAAATCATCTGTTAAATTTTGACAATTAATTATGACATTAGCCTTCTAAGTTTCTAAGTCATTTTCTCATATAGATTAAAACTTAAAATACACCAATTTTAATATTTTCTATTGTATCACATATGACTCATCCCATAATTTCAAAAATACTAATTGGACTGAAGAGGTTCAATATGTCAAACATTCCAAATTCTAACAAAGCCCCCTGATTTTGAGCTGCTAAATGAATTCCTACATCCCAATAGTTTGAGTCTATGCTGATAATTTT